CTTTGCCACTGAGCTAAATCCCCAGCCCCTCACATTATGTTTTTTTTTAAAGCAAGTGAACAATCTGAATTACAGAAAATGAAATTAGCTTACCAATCCACATTGTCACAGAGCGGATTTATTATGCAGTGGTTGGAAAGACTAGAGGAATCTGCAGTCGGCACTCACCATCTCTTGCTTCTATTTTCTTATTTGTACAACATAGGACATTTGTTTCATGTGAAAAATGAAGATGTATCTGCGTGTGCTGAGCTGCAGATTGAGTTTAACAGTAACTGCAAGCTGTTTGTTCTGGAAGGCAAGGTGGGAACTGCAGGGCCAAAGGAAGCAGCACAGCACTCGCAGACTCCGGTGCTGAGCGTGCAGATCATCCCCAGAGGATCTGATATTTGAAAAATGGAGTTACAAACAAAATTCAAATAGCTAAGAAGAAATTCTTAAAATGCTCAACAGATAGAAAAATTATAGCAAAAATGACACAATAGAAATAGAAGTTATCATCAAAAGGCCAACTAAAATCGTAGGTATTGACCAAAAATATTAGTACAACTCAAAGCACTATTTCAAGTAGGACCCAGCACGGGCCCAGCTCTGGCTGCCTGCCATATACTCCCCGTCCTGCTAGTCTGAGCACGCGAGCGCTGAGTTCTTCGCAGGGCACCTCTAACCTCTGATGGAGAAGAAAGATCAAAGCCAAGGTCCTTCCTGAGTCTTGGCATCCGAAACTTAGAATGTCCTGCTCAGTAAGCCAACTGGATTCCCTAAATCTTTTCCAAACTTGTGGCTGACAAACATCTTTTCCTATCCTACACTTCACAGGTTTTTCCATTTTTAATCCTGGGTAGGGCTTCATTTTCACCCCTAACAAACCATTTTGCTTATTATTTCAGTCCATTCCAGTCAAGAATCTGTGATAAAGTGTCTTAACTCTGTCTCCAAGTTTCTGACAGCGCATACACGTTACTCTCTGCACCGTCTTCCAGTGACTGGTAAGAAGAAACAGGAGAAAGCTTTTTAGACTACAGTTTTAAAGAAGCCTGTAACTCTTAAAAAGATGACCATTTTCTTCGGTGTTCTTGGACAAAAGAAAACATGGCAGGTCTATTTCTCTGCTTCTCGGGTGGACATTTCTGCCGGCATCATGAGAGGAAGCACTTCTGAGACTAAGCGGGGGAACATGCGCACATCAACTTCATCTCCAAGGGCAGGGGCAAGGGTGAGGGACCCTGTAGCAGAAATACTTCGTTGTCCCTGCCTTCCAGGACTACGGTGAGTGGCAGGGGATGTGGAAGGAGGCCCTGGTAACGTCGCCAAGGTGCAGGCTCCTCCCATCAGAGCCTTTTATGCTATCATTTTTCTTATGTATGTAACAATATAAAGACCAGAGAAAAAGTATTTGCTTTGTAACATCATAGAAAAAAACAAAACAATACAAAAACAACGTACAACTGCAGCTAAGGCATGGCAATTCTATAGCAAACAGGATCATGCTCCCATGGGATCCGCCTCCTGGGATGAAGAGGGCGGCAGCAGGATAATCTGATCCCACGGCACTCCGGAAAAGGGATGAGGTTCATCAGTAACCATCCCAAGGCAAGATGGATAAATAGTGATGCATGTCAGCAGTTTTGCAAGCATACAACCATTTTGGCTATGAAGAACTAAACTAGATACAATAAAGCTGAAAAGTTGGGATTTCTAGGCTAAATGTTTCACTTCAGAGTCAATCAACAAGAACCTACTACTGTTGAACAAAAATCCGTCTTACTAAAGGACAAAGAGGACACATACAACCTAAAGACAATTTGACTTTGCTTTATTGAATATAGTACACACCTGATATTAACAGATATAATTAAACAGAATTTATAAGATCACCATGTGGAACATTTTAAAAGAGTAATCTGAAAGACTCTTCATGGGAATCAATTCATTTCTCTTAATATAACAATTAGTTTAGAGCTTTTCAGTCAATATCCATGATAGTTCATTTCATAAAAACTATTTTTCAAGAGGTAAATCTGAGCAAATATAAAAAAATCCAGAAAAATATTCCCGCATCTACTCATAATCTTCCCATTTTTCTGTAAAAGAAATCAATAACAATTATAAACATTCTCAGTTGCTTGCAGGTTTTTCATGTATTTAATTTTAGGACAGAAACACCGTGCTATAATTTTCAGTACAGATTTGAATAGTTTTCTTATGTTTAAAAACGAATGTATAATCCAAATTCAAAGCCAGCATCGAAATACTACTTTAATAACAACAAAGCATGCGGCCATCATTACGACCTTCACTCTCCCGTGGGGCGTCCACTGAGGAGACAGCGGAGAGCAAGGAGAGGCAGTTCTCCAACCTGCCCTGAGGGTCACCTGCTGTGGAAGGCAGTTGCTCCCACAAGCACTGAGTAGACACCACAAATAAAGCCCACAGCCCTACCTGTCTGAAATAATACTGGGTGTCGGCCCTAACCTACCCTCGGCCATTAGAACGGCCATTAGAACGTAACTACAGAAAATGAGAGGGTTGTGGAGAGTGGCAGGTCTGTACAAATACGAACACATCTGTCTGTTTTAGGTGAGCTCACTTTGTAGCCCATATTCAGAATTCAAGTAGCACTGGATTCTTTAAAAAGTACAGGGTGTGTTATTGTGCAAAACGTTATTTCCCTTTTCTTTGAAAAGTCATGATTTTGCAAACTGCATTTTGTTGTGGACAATTTAGATATTGAAATGTAAAGCATCTTAATCTTATTTACCCATTTTGAAGTATTTCAAAATCAAGTTTTCAGTGAGTATAATTTCTATATTGGTCTGAAAAAGTAACTTAATAAACCATACTGGTATTCATTTTAGTTAGAGTAACACTCCTGAAGGGTTGATAAGCACGAGTGAAAAAATCACTATGAAAACAATACCATGCATTACACAGTACTTTAAAAACATTCACCTAATCAACCAGAAAAGGTAATAATGGTGCTTGGGCTTTTGGTTTTGGTATTGTTTTTTATTAAAAATTTTCCTTTTACATAATAAAGAGGTTTCTGCTCAACGCATACCTAATTTCAGATAATACAAAGTTAAGTTTGTGAATGTTAGGAATCATCACATAGCGGCTGGGGATTTAGCTCAGCGGCACAGTGCCTGCCTGGCAAGCGTGAGGTCATGAGTTTGATTACCGGTACCAGAAAAAAAAAAAAAGGATCATCACATAAATAACTGCAGTCTACATTAATGGTGCTTGAGGGGTCATTTTCTTTTTTTTTTTTTTTTTTTGTCTTTTTGAGACAGGGTCTTGCTATGCAGCTTAGGCTGGCCTTGAGCTCACTTTGTAGTCCAGGCTGAACTCAAACTTGCAATAGTCCTCCTGCTTCAGCCTCCCCAGTGCTGGGATTACAGGTGTGCACCACCACGCCTAGCTGAGGGGTCATTTTCAAGTAAAAGAAATTACCTCTTTTCATGGAAAGTAAATAGATCAAAGAACATACAAAAATGAAGATAAAACAGGGCACAGGCACAGTGTAAACTATGTTGGATTATGTCTTCAGTGTTAACATATTGAAAGATACTTTCTGTCAGTCATGTGGTACAAATGTTCAACATGCTTCCACTAAGGGTAACTACACGGGTAGGGATTCGAAGTTTTCTCAAGTGCACCTTTTACTCTGACAGATGCTGTTTACCAAACAAAGCACGCGATGACTTAGGGACAACACTCGATGTCGGGGGCACACCTACCTACGTGGTCAATAGTTGATCATTTTTCGAAGGGCATCGTAGCATTTCCATTTGTCTGGGATGTAAAATGGCTCAAAAATGTGAGGAAATGGTGTGTCGTAACCACACACTCTGGATATAGGAGCTTCGAGGTTCAAGAAACACTCTTCCTGCAGAGATGAAACGGAGATGGTCAACTTTACGATTGTATTTCTATTCATAGAGATGAGACACTTCAACTTAAGGTACTTCACTCCCTGAAAGCAACTGTATCTAAGGACATCAAAAGTCTGTAGACGTATTTTCCGTGAATAAAGCTGATCGCATGTTAACATTATCCCAACTTTGCCTAAGGTGTGTTTCATACACGACGCATTTTATGTCTCTATAGGTATGTATTACCTAACGCGCAGCAAGATCACCCCAAACACACTTCCTATGAATGGAAATGTAGGACACGACAAAAACATGACAAACGTCCACATTGGTTACATCTGCACCTCAAAGATCATGATTATGCTTTCTCATTTTTGGTATTTTCAAAATTTTATAACATGAATGTGCACTGGTCTGAGAATAAATGTGCAGTCCCTCTATGCGTCACCCAGACCCCACTTCCATCAGACGCCGGACTGCGGCCTCACTCCTGGCACGGCCAGGCCTCTGCAGCTTCCCGGGGCTCCCTGCTCTCTGCCTCCCTGGGGCGGACCTAACTCGGGCATGGCCTCCACTGGGAAGCCTCCCTTGACAGCAGCCCCCAGTGGCACAGGCGGGGCAGAGCCTTCTGCCCTGAGCCCCACAGACTGGTCCTGACAGGGTCCGCTGCAGTGGCCCAGTTATGCATCTCCTCCTAGAGAGACCGTGAGCTTCCTGAGACGGGAGATGTAGTTCACATACATAAAATCAAAGCTCCAGGGACATAGTGTAGGTCGTTATTCTTAAGGAGAAAACACTTACATAGTAAAAAAAAAAATCAACTTTCAAAAAATAATTTTAGATATCTGAACTAAAAAAGATATACGATTAAACTACTGTGATAAAGTAATATTAATTTACCATTCAGAGGTATTACCTGAAATAAAACCTGTGGTTTTCATTTATCCATTTATGTACTGCCTTGTTTTACAAAGGATTTGAGAAGGCCTAAATAGTTTTACATGTTACACGATTTTTTAATTTTAACTTGGGCAGATGATTTTTCCATGGAGAATCCCGACGCTGCACGCTCCATCTATACCCACTGCGCTATTTACCTCCCACTGCCAAGTGCTCCGGGGCGGAAACGACATGCGAACAGGACAAATTAGCTCCACAGAGAACGAGCTGGTCCTTCCCAGACCTCCCCTTGGCCCCGTCAACTACTGTGACAGCATCGAACATTAAACAGGGGCCACCTCTCCTCCCAACACGAATCTTCCATCAACAACTCTAGCATTTTTAACACACATAAAGAACCCCCTAAGAAACCCCACCACTAGCCCACTGAAACAAGCTGACAGACTAGGTGGATTATTTCTTGACTGCAACAAGTAATTTTAAAACCTTGCAACCGTCAATTCAGGATTAACCCAGTTTTGCTTCTTCAGCTGACACAGCCCGTTTCCTTCTTCTTTCCTGACTACTGCACTCTGTGTAAATGAATTATCCACGGACACTGCGGAACAGAGGACCAAGGAGAAAGTATCTCACCAAATGCCTCTGACTTTACACCCATTATAAAATACCAGTGATTCAAACTAGGAACTTGGAAAGCTGGCCGACCATGCACTGCTTTGTCAGTGCTGGGAAAATCACCCCTTTAGCATAATGGCTAACTAAAAAAACCTTTTCTTGCCCCAAACGGCAACGGTCCTAACTCTTCAAGAGTGTGAGCATCCATCCATCTTCCCAGGAAGACATCTCCGTGTTTCACAGGCACAGGACACCGCTCTTGCCAGGTCACGCCTGGACTGTGAACGGTGGTTATCCTTCGAGCCTGCGGAAACCGGGGCAGGAAAAGCAGGCTTCGTACTCTGTAAGTACTATTTGAAGTTTTTTGTGAGACAGTATAAATTCTGTAATCAAATGACACTGAAATAAAGGGAAAGAATAAAGTGAAGAATCTCTTTCCTGTGTGAATAAAAGTTTCTATTCTAATGTTCCATCCACGTGTAATTTTACAAGTCGTGTTTCTTTTCACTACCTGACCTATGAAACTACAAATGTATGGAATATTATATTCTGACCAATTGAAATAGAAATTCTAACTCTACCAACCAGTGTACTGAGGAAACTTGAATTATTCCTTCCATGGAGCGTTAACGTCTCGTAAAGTAAAGGAAACCAACGTCTGCACCGATCACGCAGCTTTTACTATTGCTTCTCACTGAATGTGCTCACATATGAATGATTCACTTGGGAATACAGGCTTCTTTGTGCTACAACAAAACAAGGCACCGTACCCAGCCCTAGTTTTTTCATACAGAAGCCACACACATACACACACACACACACACACACACACCACGCGCGCACACACAGTGAGAAAAACATATGAATCCCATTGGTAGGTACGCAAATTAATGTAGGAGACTAATGCTTCACAAAGTAACTGCATTATAACCACATGACACTGTAACTATAGCAACCATGTGCTCTGAATTTTCAAGACAATTCAAATTAATCATATTCATCTGTTCCACTGGCTGCCTAAGTACACTCATATTTTTAAAACTATGATGATTTTTGATTCAGAAACAGTAAGCTGCATACAATTAGGAATTAAGTAACAGCCTAACCCGCAGGCTGTCGGGAGGGTTTTATGTACCATCCAGGACGGGAGAACGGTGTGTTGACTGGTTAAATCCACGTGCAACAAGGACAGATGTGACCATGAGATTGCAAAGTGAGCACAGCGTAATACGCAACCAGGCTCCACAGGAAACAACCCAGACAGGTATCCAGAGAAACTTGCATCCAGCTTTTTGGGGTTCATAATTTTACCCAGGGTCTAGTGTGAAGGATGAACTTGAACCCCTAAACCACCACACAGTAACACCTACGTATCTCCTGCTGCAGTATGTGCTTTCACATCTCCATGCTTAAAGTAAAATAGCTGTTCCTTCCACAAGACTCGAATGAAATTCTACAAATAATATTTGTATTTGTTCCTCAATATACTTTTTTGCAACACAAACTTTTTCTAAAATATGCTAATAATAAAAATAGTGCCCAGTATTTAGGGTACTGTAAGCATGGTGCTTAAATGAGTTATATTTTTATCTCATTTACGTTTCACAGGTGGGATATACAGATGGAGGAAACTGCCCAAGGTTAAATGGCTATCTATAAAGCCAATTTCAAAATCTATGTTCTTACTGTCTCTTCTGTAAATTTTGCCTACGGCCACACCACCCTGAAGGTGCTCAATCTCGTTTTTAGAAAATTTTGAGGAATTACTTCTGAGACTAGCAATAACGGGGAGGGGGTGAAATCAGAAAAGCAGGGCCGAGCAGGAGGAAGCTGGCATCCTCAGGGTCTTACGGCACAGCCCTAAGAAGTGTGACAGGTGAGGTCCACGTATTTAAGGAAGATGGAGGTTACAATACAAAGACACGGAAAGGATTAAGCGATGCATGAGGTAGCTCACAAAGCAACAAACAGATGGTCATGAGTACCGTAACCTCGGGGGGATGTTAAATGACTGAGGTAAACAAGTCCAAGTGTTTATATATTAGCCATCTGGACTGCTATGCATATTGTAACCGGAAAAAGGAAGCAATGTGAGATAACACCAAATCATTAAAATTATACACACAGGCAAAATAAATTCCCTTCATTTGCCCACGTTCTGTAACAAAACAATAAAAATTTATCCTTTTAGTTTTCTATTGGAAAACAAAACATCTTGTTGAAATCAGGGTGGGCAGATATAAAGTCTTTTAGCAGGTACAACAGGGGAAGAACACAAATTAGTAGAATTGGATAAATAATACCTTGATAATTAAAATATTATTGAAGCTTTAGAAATTAAGAAAATGGTATTTATTTCCATGCTTGGATGAATGTAACTGCCAGTTGAGGGGGTCCCCGGAGTGCAGATGCTGGAAACTTAGTCCGCAAGGCCCCATGCTGATGGGCTGGAAGGAGAGCCTTTGGGAGGCCATGAGGATTCGCGAGTTCATGAGATGGCAGCAGTTGTGGCTTTAGGAGAAGAAAGGGACCCGAGCGGGCACACGTGCCCGGCCTCATCGTGTGATGAGAACGGGCATCCTACTATGTCCAGATGTAGCAAGAATCCCTCACCAGACGCCAAAAGGAAGACACTGGGCTTCCCAGGCACCAGAAACAAGAGCCAAATCAACTTCTATTCTTTATCAACTAACTAGTCTCAGGTACTTCATTACAGCAACAGAAAATGGACTAAGACAGTAAATATATAAATATATACACACATCAATTGGGGCTTATAGGCTCCCTAGATGCCACTGAATATTTAACAGCACTTCCCCTATTAAAATTTTAAGGACAGCAACCACTAATTCATCCGTTACAAAGGCAGAGGAGTTACTTCACTGAAATCACTGTCTCAGGCATTCCACACTGTGGCTTCAGTCATTGCCAGCAAATCTTTTTGTTGTTTTTATGGCAAGGCTACATAATATAATTGACACGGCATGAAATCTGGAATTCTGTTTGAAGGAAATCTTTGTTCTACTATGATTTAGCCTCTCCAAGCTTATTTAGAACAGTTTAAAAAGAAAAAAAAAAAAAAAACACCAGTATTTAAAATTTGAGCATTACTGTGGACTACGTCCCTGTTACTTTATAGCGCTATTGTTATCTTGTCTATGTGCCAGTTTAAAGGGTGTGGCAGCATATGGAAAACGCCTAACAGTATGCCTGATGTATCCCAGTGCTCAGTGATTGCTAGGTTTTCCTTTTTCTCTTAATATTTTTCCAAGTTAAAGAAATCCCTTCTTTATAATAAACACAAAGTATCTGGAATGGAAGACCAAATCACTGGTACATAAAATCTTCCAGGTACATAAGAGTCAAAACTGAGAAGCAGAAGTAGTAGCCACTTAGAGGACGTCTGAACTGCTACAAATTACTGAACATGCCACAGGCTTTACATGTGCAAGTTATTACAAAACACAACAACAAAAAACCTGCAAGTGCTACAGTGAGG